CACTTTTTTTTTTTTTTTTTTTTTATCTTTGCCTTCCTGAGCTTGGCCCTGCAGGTTCTTGCTATTTCCTGGTATCCTTCCTTGGTGACCTGCCCATTCTTCCATTGCCTGCATGTTTTCCTTTTGCATTTGAGGCAATTTAAAAGCTCCTTCTGCAGCCACATTGGTCTCTTGCCACCATTCTTCTTGTGCATCCACCATGTTGGGACAGCTTCTTGTTGGGATTTCAACACCGTACCTTTTAGAGCCTCCAAGCCCTCCTGGGTGCCTTTACCCTTCAGTCCATTTTCCCATGGCCCCATGCCTATTAGTTCCCTCAGTTTGGTTAAAAACTGCTTTTTTGATATCTAGCATCTTAGTTTTGCTGACCTCAAGCTTTCCCTGCCTCAGGATCTGGAATTCTATCATATCATGATCACTTCCTCACAAGTTACCAATCACCTTCACATCCTCCACAAGTTCTTCCCTGCTTGTAGGACAAGAGCCAAGATAGATAATCCCCTAGTTGTATCCTCTGCTTTCTAGAACAGAGTTGTCCTCCACGCAAATTAGGAACTGGCTGGACATTTTATTTTCCAGCAGATGTCCAGAAAATTGATGTCTCCCACCAGTACCATCCCATGGCTCTTGGACAGATTTGTCACCTGCTTGAACAGTGCCTCATCCACCTTCTGATCCCTCAATGCAACTGAAACAGCCTCATGCACTGAACCAAGGGCCTAAAGGAGAATGTATGACCAACCACCACTCTTGTTCTTGCCATATTATGAGTCTCCACTTACCTATCGTACGGAAACCCAAAAACCAGGCAAAGGATGGCAGAAAGTGGAATGGACACTTATTGAAAAACTCCAGTTACTGAATGGCAAAAGTACACTTTTTTCAAGTACTTGCCTCCGCATGCATTCCCTAGGGAGAGACTCCCCAGCAGCGCACCAAGTAGGAGAATGGTGAATGGAGCTTTCATGAAGAACTAACTGCAACATTACCTTACTGTAGCTCCAATCTGCTTTCCTGCACACATCTTAGGTTTGACACCTTTAGGCAGGCCACAAAGACTGCAATGGCTCTGAGTGAGCATTACCATTATCAGGAACTGGACAGAAGTTTGGAGAAGGAAACAAGAATTTCCATGGCCACAGAGAGGTTACTAGACTGAGCTTTACTCTATCCTGTTCAGTTTTCCTTTGGATCCTTAGTATTAATAGCACTGGCAAAAATGCGTAACAGCTGACTTGACCATTTGATCGCAAAAGCCTCTCCCAAATAGCCTTGACTTGTGCCATCCCTGAAACACAGTTTTTTAATAGTTCTTCCTCATACTGGTTGCAAACCAGTTGCCCTAACTCAAACACCAGTTGTGCCACTGAATCAAGAAATACCTTTCATAATCTCCGTGACGCTTACAGGGACTGCTGACGACAATGTTCTATTAGGAAAGGATTAAGAAGGTAAATGGATGGTGCATACACCAATACAAGAGTCTTATGCTCAGGTATGTGCCTGGGAGGATTGGGTTTCCTCAGATTTGTTTGTTTATCTGATAAGCTATGGCAGGGGTCGGCAACCCCTGGCATGCGTGCCCAGCGTGGCACACGAGGCCATTTTGCTTGGCACACTGTGGCACAGCTGTTTGGAGCCTCCCGGCTACAGCCGGCCCCAGCTCCGGGTAGCTGCTGCCAGCAACAGAGCCCAGGCTGCTCCCAGTCGGGCTTGCAGCATCCCAGCTGCCTGCCCCAAGGTAGGTACCCATGCAGTCACCCCCAGCACAGAGCAGAGGCCGTAGCTGTGCAGCCTGGCAGAGCTGTTTGCACTCTGCCCACTGCAGCTGCCCAGACAGCTGCGCTGGGCTCATCACCTCCATGCTGGGAGCAGGGGAGAGACTGGGGCTGCGCTGCCTCAGGCCCCTCCCCCACCACCAGCTCCAAAGCATGCCTACACACGCTGGTGCAGAGCTGATGCTGGAGCCCGGCACAGCTGTTTGGAGCCTCCCAGCTGCAGCCAGCCCTGGCTCTGGCTCTGGCTCGCTGCTAGTAGCCACAGAGCCCGGGCTGTGGGGCAAGGCATCCTGCCATGTACCCCTTGCCCTCATTTTGTTTTTCTGCCATGCTGGCACTCCAGCACCTTCCGAGGTAGGCGTTGTGGTGTTTTTCGGCACACCGGCCAAAAAACATTGCCCACCCCTGAACTATATGTTGTCCAATAAGCTTGAACAGAAGTGCTTCTGCTTGAACAGGAATAAGTGTCCCTTGCATACCCCAGATACTGCTCTCAGTTCTTGTAAGGTGATGCGAAATAGCATCTTCTGTGAAATGTAAGTACCCAGTAAAAATTTGTACACTGCCTATGCACACTGGCTCAGTGGTTAAAATTGATTGTTTCCTCCTGTTCTGGTTGGTACTGGGGGGTTAAAAGGGAACTCCTATGCATGCTATTCTCATAGCCAAATCTCAGCATTTAGAGGAACTAGGAACATCATACACATGCTGTGTGCACCAAAAATGTATATTAAGCTGATCCCTGTTTGTAGACAGAGGAGAGGTAATCCTGCATATGATGTCACATGCCTAGATGTTATGTGATGTAGAAAGAAAAGGCAACAGCATGAAACAGAAGACAACAACACACCAAGGTATGAGAAATCAACTGACATGGATCTATCAGCATGGACATTGTGTTGTCTCTCTCCAGGAGCAAGGATGCATTTTATGCCACTGAAACCAAAATTGCTTCACAAAGTCTTGAAGTATAACCACACAGTTCTATTCTTCAGAATCCAGTCTCTCATGTTGGTGAACTGGGGCATTTGATGAAAGCTAGGGGTTTTCAACCTTTTTAAAAGAAGTATACCCCTTCTGGTGGCAGTGGCCAGATGGGGGGGGGGCAGGAAGGGGGCAGAGAGATTGCATGCAGCAGCCACCGCACCCACCCACCATCCCACGCCCCGCTTTTTCCACAGCCGGTCACATATGCAGCTCCATAGGCTGTTGACAGCCCTTGCACCCAACCAATCACATGCCGCCCGTCAGCAGCCCACAGAACTGCACGTGCGACTGGCTGTGGGAAAGCGGGGCACCAGGTGGTGGATGGTGGCCGCTGCCCTTGCTCCCCCCTGGCTCTGATCCTGGGAGGCGGTGGTGGTGCTCTGCCCCTGCCTGCCCAGGCATACCCCCTAGGACCTTCCCAAGTACTCCTAGGGGTACATGTACCCTCAGTTGACAACCCTTGAGCTAGGGCTCACAAAAACTTATAGACTAACTGAATCAGAGCTGCATAAGGTGCACCTCTATGCTGCCTTCTTCATAAGTAGAAGTTGCAAGGTAACATTTGAAAGAAAGAAACATCTAGAGCAGGGGTTATCAACCAAGGGTATGTGCACCTCCAGGGGTACTTAGAAAGGTCTTTGGGGGTACGCCCAGGTGGGTGGGGATGAAGAGCGCCCCAGGGTGCTGCAGCAGTGTCTCCTCCAGAGCGTTTGCCTGTTACCTGGGGGAGGGGTGCACCAGGTGCCACCAGCACACCACGGCACCTCCCCACCCCAGCTCGCTCTCCTGAATGGCCGCTGTGAGGGTCTCAATGGCGGGAGGGTTAGTGTGTTTCTATGCCCACTCCAAGGAGCAGGGCTGGAGGGGTTGGTTCAAGGGCAGCAGCAACCCTCTGCAGGCCATATAGGTGCCACCCAGCCCAATGGGGTAGGGGAAAAGGGGTGTTGCATGCGGCAGAGGCCACCGCCACCACCACCCCATGGTGGTTTCCCATGGCTGGTTGTGCATGCGACTCTGCGGGCTGCTGATGGGCGGCGCGCAATTGGCTGGATGTGAAGCTTGTAAGCAGCACATGGAGCTGCATGTGGAACTGGGTGTGGGAAAGCAGGGTGCAGTGGTGGCACAGTAGACATCTGTAATGGCATGAGGCGGTGGACGGTGGTTGCATGCAAGTACCACCCCCCCACCCTACATCCGGCCTCCGACACCAAAAGGGGTACACCTGCTAAAAAAGGTTGAAAACCCCTGATCTAGAATAACTGCCTGGCTAGAAGAAATTAAATCTGAGGTCATGAAATGAGAAAAAGGTGTAGTCAGATTCGTTATGCACATCATAGCCTTCCTTTATTAAGGATAACTCTATTTTTCTTTTTATCTATCCGACTCATTGATAAGTATATACAGATCTGCCAAATACCCATAAAGAATGTATATGGATGATTGGGCTATTAGTCAGCTACAGACAACACAACAGATCTAACTGAAATATAAACAGAATTAGATACAGTGAGGCTTAGATCAGTTTTGATTTTTGTGAAAAGTGAAGGCGAAGTTTACCTGTGCAACCTTATGTCTGGGTTCTTATAAGCATTCATCACAGAGTCTTGAAGTACATAATCACACACTGTTATAGTCTTCAGTATCCTCTCTCTCTCTTTTGGTGCACTGGTTGGACAAAGAATAGTAAAGGGCCAATCCAGCTCCTACTGAAGTCAATGGAAAAGACTCTCACTGACTTCAGTGGGGATTGTGTAAGACCCTGAGTGAGGTAGAGACACATAACACAAGAAAGTGCCAAAATCCACTTGCATTTATACTGTACAAAGTAAATTCACTAAATCTATAAGGCCAGACCATCTCCTGAAGTCAGAGCTGTGCTGGTTTACAGCAATCCTTGTCCCAGTGGATTTAGTCCAAATTTGCATTGGTATAATATAGCAGATTTTTGGTTCTCATAGAATGAAAAGTATGTAGTGAATGAATACTGCCTTGGCTACTCTTGGACCACTGCATGAGCTGCTGATAAAAGGGTGGGCAGGATGAAGACAGAAAAATTAACTGGATTAGTGCTGCTGTAGTGCCAATTATCTTACACCTACACCACCACCTACATGATTCAGATGAAAATAAATACAAACAAAGGTTTGTACAATGTCTGCCACGTGAATGCAGTTATTCAACCATAAATATGGTAGTATTTATTTCTACAAGGGAACTTAATTACCAAGTTACTTTATTGAGAACACATGTAGCAACCTTTGTATGATTATTCTTCAATGTGTTCAGTTTGTCATTGTAATGATTTTTCCTAAAGATAAACTGCATTGTTTTGTGTAAAATGTAAGTACTGTACTGAGGTGGCAAGGAGACCATAAAAAATAACTATTTAAAGATGCAGTATGCCTTACCTTGTGACATCACTGCTTGCTTGTTCTTCTTGCTGGAGTTCAGACAATGACGTATCTCCATTGCTTAAACTTTCAATCATAGATAGCTCAGTACTACTTTGAGACATGTCTTTGGATTTACTGAGATTTGCTAATGAAGTTACCACATTTGCCAGCGTGCTTAAATCTCCTTGACATGCATCAACCTAAGAAAAAAATACAGTTTTAATTCTTTCACATTAGTATCACATGGGAATGGAAAAATCCAGCTTTCACACTAAGGAATGAAGACTTAATCTTAAATACAGAACATATTAAAATAATTGTTTTCAGTAGCGGGTATAATATAATGCCTATAATGCCATAAATAGAGACTGCTATCTAATTTTCAAAGTTTTTCCCCGTTAGCTTTTTACCAGTAGTTAACATACACTTCTTACAATGATGGTACTTGCAAAAACCAGAACAAGGTTAAAAAACAAACAAACAAAAAACACCAGTAAAAAAAGCTTACTGCTGGTTTGAAAAATTCTTATTGTGCAGAGACGTACACAGCATAGCTTGTATGGACTGAGCTCATTTCTGCACACCAGGGGCTCCTTGCACTCCTCCATGTCCACCAGAGGGATCTTGAGTGCCATCTCCTGCAATTTCAAGGACTTGTGCAATCTGTAATCCTCTTCTCTATCACCATCTCCCTCCAAAACCAGTGGCTTAAGGATTTCTATTCACCCACACTTGTGGGTGGGTAGGGATTGCTCTGGGTGCTTCACATGTCCCCCCCCCCACCCAGGTCACAGATCACACGGCTTTCAAGGGAAGCTCTGCCTTGGGACTCTGCAAGAAGAGGCCTTATTCAGTCTCCCTCTTCTGAAAAATCCCCTGAATCCAGCCCTGGTATGGCTTTACAAAGGGCAAGCCTCTGGCTTTGAGACTCTGGCTCTTCTCTGGTGATCTGTAGCAGCTGTATCTCAGACAGCTCCTTCTTTTTGGTCAGCTCCCAGGAGAGTCTTTTAAAGCGGAGAGGCCTTAAGAGTTCCAGTGTCCCACAGCACAGCAGATTGCTCAGCTTCAAATGGTTTTTTATTATACCACTCAAGTGCCCTTTGTCCTCTCTGGGACCACACTCTCTGCACTGTCCTCTCTGGGATTAATTCTTTCTTTCTACTCTCTATTCTCCTTTTTGGGGAAGATCCATGACACCCACCATTATTGCTGTTTCTTTCTATCTTGGAGATAAATCAATCTAGAGTGACAATCCATTAAACTCTACTGGAAGGAAATGGCAGGAGTTTTTGTTATGCTGTAAGGCATTAATGGGTGCCATTAATTGGCTGGAATTATTGATAATTAGGCATGGCTCAAACTGCTCTGTCTCCAAACACAATGCCAGATGCTCCCTCTTTCCCTTTCCAGTTTGTTGATAAACTGGATTCTGCCTACTAATGTCTTAAATGTTCCATAACATTTTGACATCAGTTTGACTCAGTGTTCAGCATTGTTACATAACAGGTGCCAAACATCCAAACAGATGGTAATATCAAACTGACTGTGGCGAGGTGGGCTCCTCTCAGGCCAGCCGTTGCCGCCCTCCCACCTGCCTCTGGGCATGCTGCCCGCCTGTCTCGCCCACCACGACTTGTTGGAAGATCAATAAGTTGTTAAATAAGGTGGGAGGCTGCCCATTTTTCTTTGCACCCCAATATAAGGGGGTGTCTGCAGCTCCGTACCACTCCTACACTGCGGCCCAAGCCTCGCAGATGCCATCCAGATGTTAACAGTCACACCAGCCACACGCTAGGCTCCAGAATTCTCCTGGGAGGACCCTCTCTTTGATCCCTCCACTCAGGCGGCCTACACCGCCTTCATTTGGGCTGCCGAGCTCCTTGTAGCTGGCTCCCCTCTCAGTCATGGTCCCCGCTCGGGACCTTCAGTCCTACACAGGCCCTGGCCTCACCTCCAAGGCCAGGCAGGGTCCCAGATCCACAACTCTGAGTGCCCTTCGCGGTAGATGCCTAACCCTTTGACCATCTTGGTCCTGGCCCCAGCATGGACCAGTTGAGAGGGCACTGTACTTCTGGCCTAAATAGCCCCACGTTCTCTCCAGGTCCACCTTCCTGGATGTAGGGAGCTGGGGTACCTCATACCACGACTGGTGCCCCAGGGTCTCACAGGAGACTCTCACTCCCCCCTGGGGCAGCAGGTTGTGGTGTTACTACGGATGTTACATTCGACCCACACTCAGCCTCCCAGCAGTGGAGGACTTACCAGGGTCAGGACTCGCCTCTCTCACTCTGGGGTTGAAGCCCCTTCACTCAGCCTCCGGCCCAAACCTTGGCCTCAGGCTTCCGAAGGCTTACCTGGGCCCACTACCCTTGCCTGGGGCTCCACATGCCCCCCTCACTTGGGGCTCTAGATCTCCACTCCTTAGTTGGGGCTACCCCCTCACTGGGGCTCCGCAACTCTGCCCCCTCATTTAGGGCTACCACACTGCCCCTCGCTTGGGGCTACAGATCTCAGCCCCCTTCACTGGGGCTATCCCCCCCTCACTGGGGTCCTAATTTCCATCCCCTCTCACTTGGGGCTCCAGACCGCCCCCTCACTGGGGGGCCACAGGGTTTGCTCCCCGGTGGGCTCAGGTGGCCACAACTGTGCCTGGCCACAACTACCTTTGATGGTACATAAACCCACCCAAAGGCGAGGGCTAGGGTTAAGGCACCCCTACCCACCTTTCACCGGGGTGATAACTGGCCTGGCATTTCCTGGGGGCTCCCGCGCCACTGAGAGCCCCACCAGGCCACCCACTCCCGGCAAGGTGCAGTTTTAGGTCATGCCCAGGACCAGGAGCCTTTTGACCATCCCCTACAGCTCCTGCCTTACCTCCAGATGATACCAGCAGCCCTGCAGCCAGGTGATGTTGTTGCCTGGCCTTCAGCAGCAAAAATGCCCTGTTTATATGGGCAGCACCAGATCCAAAATGGCTGCCATCATCAGGCACCTGCCAGCCGCTAGCTTCTTGCCCTTAAAGTGGTAGGCACCTATAGTGCCCTGCCATACGGACTTTGTATTAACACCTCATATCACTCAACCAATTTTACTATTTGGCCCAGTAAAATGTCCTGAATTTACGTTTTATTTCTTCCAGATTCTCAGCTTGCAAAAATTGGAGCAAGCTTTCACAAGACCAAATTTTTTAGCATACCTGCAGTACACATTCATGAGAACTGCATGTTGGGTTTGTTCCATTCAGGTTGGTAGCAGAAGGGGACAAAGTCTTAACCCTCCCTCCACTCCCAAACATTTTTTAGTATGAATTTAACTTGTTAGAGTGCATGCTCATCAGCCGTCTCCATATTGGCACTGGAATTATTCATTCTTCCTTACTGAGAAATTTGCGAGAGCCCAGACACATTTTCTCCCAATGGTTCTTTTTCTGCAATTCCCGTGTTCATGGCAGACATCTGCTTTTAGTTTTTTCTCCTAATCAAAGCTAGTATTTTAACTCTCTGGTAATGTATAGGGTCCATATTCCCTAACAAACTTGAACATGGTACTCAACTATTTTTAGACCTACAAAATTCACTTGGTTTAATCTCTGAGCACCTCAAACATTAAAATTTACTGGTAAAAAGTACAAGAAAAGATCTAGCCATCAGTTTAAGCAATGTAAAATAGTCAAGCCCAGGACACACGTTTTTAAAAAGAAGAGTGGACATATTTTTCAAAAAAGTATTTAGTACTTTTGTTAAGCAGGGCTATAGTCAGTCTTCAAAAAAAAGGAAATATCTATAACAGTGGGTAATCTTGTAAAAGTTGGTCAATATTTCTAAAAGGAATCTTTTGAACACCGACACATCAGAACAATAAAACAAACAAAAAGCCCCTAATTGGTTGTATTCAAAGTTCATTTGGTATTTTAGGTATGTAATCATATACCTTATCTGGTGACATCAGCACAGTAGGCTCATTTTTTATTCCAGACTGGTGAATATTAACAAACATTCCTGACTCTAGTAGGCCTGTAGACCTGAAAAAAAAGGCATATTTTTTACTCTTATGATGTCAAATCTTACTTTATTTAACAGCCCCTCTACATGTGCAGATAAAGGCATGATGGGCTTTAATACACAATCCACACAACAGTGCCTCCTGCCAAACCACACATGCATGGCAGGAGGCGTGATTAGGACTGTGAATTAGATCCCATCTCAGTTTATTGCTAGTGCAGGAGGAGCCCAATCCCAGGCTCTCACTATGCTGGGAAGAAGCTATATCTTGCATCTGGGAGCCCCCTCAGCTGACATGGCTCCCAGCTGTGCAGGTACCCCATGCACCCTTGTGACTGGGATACTGCAGTTGCTACGATCTCTCAGCTGTGCAGGTGTGTGGTGCACCCTTACAGCTGGGAGATCGCAGCAGTCAAGGTCTCCCAGTCACAGGGGTGTACGGGAGCTCCTCTGAGGCTAGCAGCTCTCAGGGTTGCACACGGCCCCCCCAGCTAGGATTTCAATCAGCTGATAGGGCTCACAGGGGCCCCATGCCACACATTCAAGTAATGGCATAATAGGAAGCAACTACAAAGTTATTACATGTATTTTGTGGAATAACTTTACAGCTTATTCCTGTTTTTATCACACCATTAACTGCTTGAACATGTGGTTGGGTGACCACTTAAGGCATGACTAATTGGTTAATCACACTTAAAATGTAATGTGGAGAGGGGGCCTAAAACATGAAGCAAGCTTTCCACTAAACTCAGGACTAGTAAGGCCTCAGTTGTAATACTATGTCCAGTTTTAACATCATACTTCATGAAAGATGCCAACCAATAGACATGGTTCTGGGAAGAACACCACAAATAAGCAGAAGTCTAGAAAACATGGCATACAAGTAAATACTGAAATAACTAGTTTTGTTAAGTCCAGAGAAAAGACTACTGAAGGGGGACAAAGTTATACTCCTCAAATATGTAAAAAGATACTGCAAATATGAAGGTAACAAACAGTTCTCCAGATCCACTGATGATAGGACAAGGAGTAATGGGCCTAAACTGCAACAACAGATTTACACTGGATATTAGAAAAAAAAAAACTTTCTAGATGCAGGGATTCTTAAGCACTGGAACAGATTTGCTAGGGAGGATGTAGTCTCCACCACCAGGTATTAAGATCAAACTAGAAAAATATCAATTAGGAATGTTTCAGAGATTGTTGATCTCTTTGGAGCAAATGGCTGGGCTAGATGACCACTTAAGGACCCTTTTAACTCTAGGCCCCATGAATAACCCTATAATATCATATAAGTTAAATGTACCTTGCTGTTTCATTGTCTGTTACAAAAGTTGGAGTTGCAGCTAATGGACTACGCAGATCTTTCCGAATGTAGATCTTTTCCGTAGAAGCTGCACAATTTGAAGATTTTTCTCGTGATACTTCAATAGGCTTCCTCTCACACTGAACAGCTAACAAAATGGTGCATAACTGTTAGGTGACAACTCAAAATTTAACAGATGTAACATCACAAACAACAGCCTAAGAAGTAACGCACTGTGTTTCCAATTACAGCAGAGAACCCTGCAGTTTAAAATACATCTTTGGAGATCTTATATAGAAGTTAAAACAATTAATAAAGACTTTACGTAAACACATACATTTTGTTACGGCTACTAGAATGGCAAAGGTGTTAAACTCCCTACGCCAAACAACTTAAAGGGGCAATAATTTTTACATTTAAGATTAAATTAAAAAAAAAAAGAGGTGCACCAATAGAGATTTTTTTGGCTGATACCAATGGCTGATTATTAACCAGCCATATCAGCTGATACCAATCCAATTGCTGATATGCAGCCTGGCAGCTTGGAGACCAGCATCTGGTCAGTAAGTCTGTGGCTGGGAGGGCATGGGGGGGAATGGGCATTGTGGCGGTGGGCAGATTGATGCCCCCCACCATGGTGAAGGAGGGAGTAAGACAGCAGGCAGACACAGGCGTTGCCCAGCCGGTGCAGGGCGCAGGACGGAGCTGCAGGAGGTTTGTCTGGGGGACATGGGAGATGGGGAGGGAGCGGCAGCTCCTGGCTGCTGCATGTACCCCAAGGGAAGCGTGGTGGGCATGTTCCCCTCAGATTTGAGCAGAAAGAGAAGATGGGCTGCCTGTTGTGGGCTCGGGGCCAGCAGATGTGCTCGCCTCTTCCTGGCGATGGGGAGGGGGCTGGGCAGGGGTCGTGTTCAGGGTGGGGTGGGGGCAGCAGCAGCACTGGGAGGGGTGACTATGGGGTGGGCTACAGCCACCCCAAAAAATTCACTGTAGCCCCCCTCCCAGTGCTGCTGCCACCCTCCCCAAGTGCAGCTCTGGCCCAGACCCCCCTGCCCAGAAGAGGCCAGTACAATCCCCAGCCCCGAACCAAGCAGCCAGCCCTCGCCCTGCGCACAAATCCAGGGGGCACATGTCCCCCATGCCTCCCCTGGGAGTTCATGCAATGGCTGGAAACTACCCCCCTACCCCCACCCCTTGTGCCCCCTGGACAAGCCACCTATGGCTCCATCCTGTGTCCTGTCCTGGCAGCACCTGCCCAAGTCCCATTTCCTCCCTCACCATGCGGGCCTCTATCTCCTCCCCCATACCCCTTCCTCCCCACAGACTTACTGGCCAGATACTGCTCTCCAAGCTGCCAGGTTGCCAGGCTGCATTCCTGGTCGCATGCATGTGTGCATCTGCACATGCCATTATCAGTGATATTACTGGCTACACCAGCAAAAAAAGCTGATTGCCAATAATGTCAATTTTCCTTTATCGATGCCAATCCAATATAGACCGCTTAAAAAAAAAAAAAAAAAAGGTGTTTTCTCCTGTCTGGATCCCTTGCTGGAAGCTGTTCCTTTCATTTGCAAAAGGGTACCATCATCTCCTTCTTTGTGCTGCCTATGGAAATTTGGTCTACCCTGGGAACCCCTGGCCTCAAAGCTCAATGTAGCAAGTCTGATTCTATGGGCTCCCAGGGAAAATTTCTCTTAAGAAGAAATAGCTAGAAACAAACTATTAATGTAAGTATAGGTTTTTGTCATTGTAAAACAAAAATGCTGACTAAAAGTGTGGAACTTTTAGAAGTATTTGGAACTTATTTTTTCCTCTGTTAGAGCAGTTTTAAAATAATCTAACTTCACTTTCATTAATGGAACCACCACAGAAAAGTGCCATGAATCAGGCTTGTAAACTATAGTCTCAACAAATACATAATTTTAAATAGGCCTCAATCTACTTAGCTTATTTAAAGACATTAAAAAAGTTAGGAACCACTGGATAATACTCTATGAATAATCTGTCTTTATGGCTCCATTTGTGAAACTGTTTTAAGGCTCAGCCTGTACAGCCATGTCACCTGGCCTTTGGGGCTTCTCATTGGGTTTGGAAGTAGACAGTCAGCATGGATTCACCATGCCTGATCAACCTGATTGCCTTCTATGAGGAGATGACTGGCTCTGTGGACGCAGGGAGACTAGTGGATGTGGTGTACCTTGACTTTAGCAAGTCTTTTGATACAATCTCCCACAATATTCTTGCAGGGAAGCTAAGGAAGTATGGGCTGGATAAACAGACTGGCTGAATAGAAAACTGGCTGGAGCACTGGGAAAGGGTAGTAACCAATGGCTCAATGTCTAGTTGGCAGTATTAAGTGGGGTGTCCCAGGGGTTGGTCCTGGGCTGCTTTTGTTCAATGTTGTTATCAATGACATGGAAGATGGACTGGCTGGGCAACAAACAGCTCTGCAGAAAAGGACCTGACTGTTACAGTGGACAAGAATCCAAAAAAAAGCCAACAGTGTGCCCTTGTTGCTAAGAAGGCTAATGGCAGACTGGGCTGCATTGGTAGGAGTGTCGCCAGTAGGTCAAGGGAAGTAGATTATTCCCCTCTATTCAGCACTGGTGAGGCCACTTCTGGAGTACTGTATTCAGTTTTGGGCCCCTCACTACAGAAAGGATGTGGACAATTTGGAGAGAGTCCAGTGGAGGGCAACAAAATGGTTAGGGGGCTGGGGCACATGACATATAAGGAGAGGCAGAGAGAACTGGGCTTATCTAGTTTGGAGAAGAGAAGGTTGAGTCGGGATTTAATAGCAGCCTTCAATTACCTGAAGGGAGGTTTGAAAGAGGATGGAGCTGGACTGTTCTCAGTGACAGCAGATGACAGAATGAGGAGCAATGGTCTCAAGTCGCAGCAAGGGAAGTTTAGGTTAGATATTAAGAAAAAGTTCCTCACTGGTGGTGGAATCTCCATTCTTGCAGATTTTTAAGACCCAGATACACAAAGCTTTGGCTGGAATGATCTAGTTGGGGATGATCCTGCTTTGAACAGGGGGTTGGACTAGATTACCTCCTGAGGTCCATTCCAACCCTAATTTTCTATGATTCTATGACTGGCAGAGAGGCCCAGGGAAGGAGAAGAAAGGAGGGGCAGTCAGCATCTTGTCTGCTGCCCCCTTTGTGCCACCCTACCAGCCAGTGCCTTCGCCTCCAGGGCAGGTTGTGAGGCTGCCAGGGAAGGGAAGACTTAATAAGAACTTATTAAGGTTTTTTCATGGGTTTCATGGGCAACCCTGGATTTTGTGGGCAACCACAGATTTCATGGTTTCCACAAAATTCGTGAAACCACAATTTAGGTAGGCCTCTAACAGTATGTAATCCTAGGTACACCCCAATTTCATTTTAATATAATTAAGTGTATGTTTTATAGCTCAAACCTTCCTAAGACTTGTTAAACGTAACATAACAAATCCGTACCCTTTTACAATTCTTATTCATACTTACAATCCTGTTTCATTCCAAAAGCAATACACCGTTGCAGCCTACAGTACTGACATCTGTTCCTGTGATGTTTGTTAATAACACAGTCTTTTGTTCCTCGGCACGAATAAACTAAATTTTTTCGTATACTTCTTTTAAAGAATCCTTTGCATCCCTCACATGTTACTGCTCCATAATGACGTCCTAGTCACAGAACAATATAAGACAAGATATTGCTATCATTCTCTCTCTTTATACTTGATATTTACTTAAATACATTTTCAGTTTTACAGACTTAAGTCTGAAAATATTGGTGATTTACACAGATCAGTCCTTGCAAAAGGTGAAGTATAGGCAACTCTCACACATAAGTCTCAAAAGCGGATTACTTCAAGATTTCAAAGAAAACACATTTTAATTTTCTACATATTTTTCTTTCTTTACCAATTTCTGCTTCAATATCTAAAATTCGCAGTTCACCATTTGTTCAAAAGGCTGTTAACCATTTCAAATGGCACAAGAATGTCATTTCACACAACACTTAAAAAAAAGAGAAAACAAAAAGAGAGAATGCTTTTATGCAGTTTGAAATTAATGACTTAAAAATAAAACACTTGTTTAGTTTTGTTTATTTTCCAAAACACTTATTTTTCAACTTGAGTGCATCAAAAATGGCTCTATGTAGAGTACCTCCATTCTTTTATTCAAACTCTCTGATAAGAGAACTTGCTTAAAAAAACAACCCCCCCCCCCCCAAAAAAAAAAAAAAAAA